ATGTGCCATGGAGTTGGTCCCAACTCACAGTGACCCTGTATAGGGTTTCCAGGGCTGTAATTCTTTATGGGTGCAGAAAGACTCATCATTCTACTGTGGAACCACTGGTAGTTTTGAACTGCTGACCTTCAAATTAACAGCTCAACTCATAATCACTATGCTATCAGAGCTTCTGTTTTTGAGTAGGTAAACTATATTACTCCTTCTGTTTTGAATTATGTTGTTTCTTTTCCCCGTGTGATGGCATGTTTTAAAAAATGCAGTTTCTTGTAATAATTCTACCCCTGATTATGCTGATTCACTACTATGGGTGAGTAGTGAGATGTCAAGGAATTTTGGCATTCAAAGGGAAATAATTTATACTGACTTAACTCCAGTTTTAGGCTTTAGATTTCTAACCAATCATGGAAACTCATGAGGTTCCTCAGATTATAAAGACTCTCTCACCGCAAGAATTCTTAACCTATGTCCATAACATTCAAAGTCTTTAGATACACATCAGGAAATCTGTACAATCTCTAACACTGTATAAAATTCTTAGTGTATTTTTAAGGGGAGAGATACTTAGTTTCATTAGATTCTTAGAGGGGTCTTTCTGACCCCCAAATGATGTCAGAACCAGTCTTCTATAGGTTATTTCTAAATGAGTTGAACTTTTAAAAGCCTTAACTTTCATAATTACTTTTTCCAATATTATTTTCAAAAAAAAAAAAAATAAGATTCAACCAACCCTGTATGCTGTTTTCAAAGCCTTCTTTCAAACTTTGCATCAGAGTACTAGGCTAAACACTGATTCTCTATAGATATTTCTTACTGTTGTTGTTGTTAAGTACCATTGAGCCGGTTCTGACTCATAGCAACCCTCTATAGGGTTTCCAAAGAGCAGCTGTTGGGTCTGAACCATTGGCTTTGTGGTTCCCAGTCCAGTGTTGATCCTACTAGGCCTCATTAATTTACAGTATTCTTGTTCTAAGTTTATTTGTGAGGTTCTAAGTTTTTAAAGGCAACTTCAACTTCCCATTTTGTGCATACAAGATGCTTGAGTCAATTAGAGTGGTCATAACTTGAACTCTGTTATCAAAACTATAATAGGCTGTTGTGAGCTCAGTAAGACACAAGCTAATAAAGAGAGATTGGCCCAATACTTGACTGATCTTTGATAAAAGTCATCTTCAGAATAAATAAGTATGCTGCAGCTCTCTTTCACAGACCGAATACACAAAGAGTCCATTAAAGAAAGAATTTGATAAATTACATGTCTCCCACAAAGGCTCCTATCTGGAAATATGAACTTATTTAATTAAGGAAAATTATAACAGATTTCTTAAAGGTTTGGGAATTTAAAAGACCCACTCTCTTTAGATATCCCCTTGAGAGACATATAACCCTAGGGCCCCGCATCAAAAACAAAATAGGGATTGAAGGTATCAATAGAAAGGTGATACTTTCTAAGAAACTGTACCTCCTCTTCTGTGAATAGGTTTCTGTGATTATGGAAGTGGATCAGAGCTAGTGGCAATCCAGGCATTGTTGTAGTGGTAGCACCACATTTTTGTGCAGTCAGACACAAACTTGAATTCTTGTGCCAATTGCCCTGGAAAATGCCAAAATGGTGCCTGTCAGAACCAAGGTCTCACAGAAGGTGTTGTTCTGAAATTCTGCACCACATAGCACATTTTTGGTGACCATGATTCCTGGCTTCAAACAGCAATTATCAATAGTAGGTAATTATGTCTAGAGAGAGACATTTTTGGTTGTTACATTTAGGCAGTGCTATTGGCTGTTGTCCTGGTGTGGCACTGTAGAATAAACATTGGACTGCTAACCACAAGATTGGTGGTTAAGCCCCACCAGATGCTCCTCAGAAACTCTATATAGGGTCACCTTGAGTCAGAATTGACTCAATGGCACTTAACAGCAACAACAAACAACTGGCTGGAGTGACACTGCATTGGACTGCTAACTCTAAGGTTGGCGATTCAGACCCGCTCCTTGGAAATCCTATACAGGGTTGTTATGAATTCTCAGAGGGGTCTTGACAACAACAACAAAATTGACACTAGCCAGGAATGCTGCTATCTTACAATGTACCCACTTCCTTTGTCCTGCCCAATGTATCAATAGGACCTGCACTAAGGAGATGTCCCTTTGGTCAACCCAGGACACTTTAGAGATATCTCCATCCAGGCCATACTGCTCACAGAGCTACTAGAAATTAGTCAATTTAAAAGTTAACTTGGAAATTGTTATGCTTTGGGCAGAGGGAAATGAAAAAAAATTTTTTAAAAAACTGTCTTCCCTTCCTCCAAAATGCAGATTAAATGTTACCTATTATAGAGTCCTAGTGTGGCGCTGTGGGTTAATGCGCTAGACTCCAAAGCCATTTGAATTGCAAGGTCAGCGGTTCAAGCTCACCAGCTGCTCCTCAGAAACCCTATACAGTGTCGCTATGGGTCAGAATCGACTCGACAGCACTTAACAACAACAACATTATAGGAAACTATTTTCCATCTGGCTTAGTTACCTGGTGCAGCTATAACAGAAATATCCTAAGTAGATGGCTTTAAGAGAAAGTTATCTTCTCATGGTTCAGGACATCAGAAGTTCAAATTCAGATATAAGGGAAGGCTTTCTCTGTGCCCTAGAAGAAGGTCCTTGTTTCTTTGTGTTTCAGCTCCTAGGTGACCTTCATGTGGCTTGGCATCTTTCTTACCCAACTTTGCTAGCGTCTCTGTCCTTTTTTCTCTTATAAGAAATGGATTCAAGACATAACCTACACTAATCCTACTTTATTAACAACAGAAAGCTCATTCCCAAATTATAAACATAGCATAAAGGTTAGGACTTTGGAGACACACAAACTCTGCAAGCCCAGTTTGAACCACAAGGTCAGTGGTTCAAGCTCACTAACGACTCCTTGGAAACCCTATACAGGGTTGCTATGAGTGGACTCTGACTCAACAGCACTTAACAATGACAACAGCACTATTGTAGCTTCACACTCCTCCCCATATAATTATTAGAATAATCACATGATACTTTCATAATGCCATATGATTATTCTAATTTAGTTCTTATCAAACAATTATTTATTCTCCCACTAAATTACAAAGTCCTTGAAAGTTAAGGGGGTGTCATTTATCTTTGCATCTTAGTTGTTTACAGAGTGTATGACACAGAATATGTACACAATAAATAATTGTCGAAGAAAAGAAGCCTGGAGGGCTGACGTTGATGCTAAGTGCTCACCCTCCAGACTTGATTTATTCTAGACTGTTATAGGCAAGGACATAAACTCAGGAGTATCTGACTCCATGTTTTCTAGACATTAAACTGTGGATTGTTCATCAATGGCCTGTAGGTTCACTAGCATTGTGGTGGGAACTTCTGGACTACCAGATCACCATAATGACATTTATCTGAAATGCTATAGAAAAAAAAAAAAAAAAGCATAAGATCTGATCCAGGATTCCTCCCTAGGGGCAGAGATAGAGTAAAAAACTGACTTCCTCCTAGATTATTTTTCTTAGGAAGAAGGAAGACTAACTTGATATACTACTTTTAATGAGCTTGGCTTTGAAGGCTACATACATTCTATATAATTTCCCTTTCACTTAAGAAGCAAGAGGTACAGTGATCAGAATAAATACCTGGCACAGAGTAGTGGGCAGTCCATCATTTGTCTTTATCAAGAATTGTTGTTGTTAAGTGCCATCGAGTCACTTCTGACTCATAGCAGCCCTGTGTAAGGTTTCTGAGGAGCAGTTAGTGGGTTTGAATTTCCTACCTGTGGTTGAAAGTACAGTGCTGATCCTACAGCGCCACATCAGGAATCACACCAATATCCAAGTACACGTTTACTAAAAAGTCTGGCTGTGAATGAAACAAGGACAATTCTAGTGAAAATTACACTAGAATCTATTAGAATGAGTTTAGCATACAGTATAGAAGAACAATTTAGGGTAATTTATAAATGTGTTTTTGTGTTAAAAACAAAAATCTATGATTATAACATTAAAAAGTATCATGTTGAAAATACAATAGAACATGTCTCAGATTTACAACAAATCAAAGATAATGTGTATTAGTGTGATTATGGAATATAAACACAATAATTTAATTGCTCCAGATAGCATGATGTTGTTGCATTACATAGTGCTGCTATTTGACAAAGTATGTCAAATAAGATTTCAGTGAAACACTTAATACAATTAGAAGTAAATTCCTGCCATAAATTGTTATCAGGAAAAAAAGACAAGGACTTTTCAGAACATTCAACTTTATTTACCATTGACAAATACAACATAAATAACATACATTTATTAAATACACAGACTAGCTATGATTTTTATGCCATAAATTGAATGCACTTTTCATTCTTTTAAATTCTGTCTCCACAATATTGAAAACCAGCCTTTAAATGCACTGGAAGATACATTTAAATATATTAAAGATGCTGTTCCAAAAATAGTTTATATAGTGGTGACAAAAGTATGCTTTGCCATTTAAACAAATGTATAGGAATGGGAGCCAGAGGACACTTTCTATACTGAATTTTTACATTATTTATCACAATGCCAATCATTTCAGTTCTTATTTAGACAAATCATACAAATAGTAGCACAGACATTCATTTCTTATAAACAGACCATGATAATCAGTGCTTATTTTTCATTTGTTTTCTTAAAGAGCTGTTCAACCTTGTGCTATTTGTACGAAACATTTGGTAAAAAGAAAAGAGAAACAGTGAAATATTTCTTATTCTTCATGTGTATAGAGAGAAAGAAAGAAAGAGGAACAAACAATCAACTGCTGTATTATTAGTAGAAAGGTTGGTAGTTTGAACCAACCCAGAGATGCTTCAGAAGACAGAATGTCAGCTTCCAAAAGATCACAGTCTTGAAAACACCATGGAGCAGTTCTACTCTGCATCATGTGGTTGCCATGAACTGGAATCTATTGTTGGGTGTGGAAGCGAGGGTAGCAGACCACTCCTCACTTTAACCTAATTGATGTTCAAGTGTACACAGACAAATGTGGTCCCATCCTTTTTGTTTCTGTAGCATGGCCTAAAAACATGAATTTTTAAAGATTGAAAATGTAGTTTTTCTCCACATCTTTCTCTATGTTCTCTGTCCCACTCCGCCTCCATGCCTATCACACGTGCATACTCTTTCAAAAGTAGAAAGAAAATTGAAGTGTACCAGCAAATCATATATATTTTTTTCATGCTTAATATTGTAGCATTGATCTCCACAGAAACTGAAAATTATATAAAGAAACTATTTTCAAACTACTGTTAAAGTTTGACAATTAACTAGCTTTGGCTAAATGCTAGCTAGTTCACTCTATTTAAAGGACCTAAATATTCTAAATCCAAACCAATCAACAATCGATCAGAGAAACTACACATTTGAAAATAACTTTAGAGGTGGGATTATCACCAAGATGCTCAAAAAGCATAAAATGATTGATGTGTTATTAATGATGATTTGTGTTATTCCTATCCTTACTCCTGTAATAAGATTACTTCATCAAAAATGAATTTATTAAAAATAAAAAATAAAAAACAGATGCAGGTCTATTTTACATATTTTATGGTACTAACAATTATAAATGTTGTTTGCCTCCCTTCTCTTAAAAACAATCCCAGCTTCACCAATAAGAAATATTTCTGATACTTTCTCCCTTTGAGAAAGTGGATAACCAGGTTGGGGCAAGGGAATTTGACTGGAATAGTGAAATATGTAACCCAGTAGACATTTAAGTTGTTTATTATATGCAGAGGGTTGGGGCAAAATTTCTAAAAACAAGACAACTTTCACTTAAATACAGAAAACTTATTTATTCTTAAAACAGAAAATTAATGCTATATAATTGAGAATGATATAATGTATCTGATTAAATTACACTTCTAGACATTATCTTAATGTGCTCTTCTTAAAATATGAAAATTAATAAATAAATTTATATAAATTATTTTCCTTTATATAGAAAAATCCTTCATTTTAGAAATTATAGAGCAGAGAACAAGTCAAGTAGGAAAGGAAATATTGAGTAGCATGTTTAGAGATATCTTCTCATGTGACCTAAGTTCATGTTTCAGGTCTAGTAGCTTTTCACTTCTTTTTGAAAACATGTTTTAGTTCTAGACTTTCCAACTCTGTCATAGATGTGTCTGTCTTCCCTTTTTTTATTTTGGAATGAAATCAACCTGGCCTACTTTTGTTTCATTTTTTTCAGTTCTACTCAAGATCAACTTAATTAAAAATGACATTCAGGGATGACATCTGAAAGATTTTATTTGAAAACTATCAAAATGAATTCATCCCCAAATTAATGCCATTTGGTGAAGATAATTCAAGTAAAAATTAACTTTCACATGAAATGATTGCCTGAATAAATGATACCAATATAATTATATTTTAATTCAAATATTTGTCCTAATTTTGTTTCATACTTTATACAAAATCTTTACCTCTAAACTTCCTTAGAATGTTGTACAGATGTTAGTGTCTTAACAAATGGATATGTGAGTTTGAGATTGTAAATTGACTCTCTCACAACCTATGTTGTGAAACATCACAGAAACCTCTTACAAGCATTTTATTATAACTCAAGAAGAAAGTCCTATGGACTTAATCACAGCAGCATATATTCTTCATTTAAAAATGATATAATCTCACTCATTGTACAATTCTGTACATTTGCTTAGACCTCAATTTTTGTAGATTTTGAAATATATATTTAATCAAAACAAGCAATAAAAAGGTAGATAGGTCAATTTGGAATGGTTGATAGCATAAAATTTTTATATAGAAAAAAACACAGACATTTTTGTTAGTCTGATTAAGCCATTAGTGTATTATTCATATAAATGCTCTACAATATTTCTATGTCATTTATCTCCCAGTATGCTATTTATTTCCAGGGACGTTTCGAAATAAAAGAATAATAAGTAGGCTATATATGTGCCTACAATTTTCAAATAAAAAAATTTCTTGCTGATTTAATCTCAATATAAATGAGCATCAAATGCATCCTGGTAAGATTGAAAGCTGATCACTAATTTAGGATTAAAAATGAAACAACAAAAATTATATATAAATCATTGAATAAATAAAAGGACATATTGGACTTGAAAATCTGATATGAAAATACTGCTAGTGCTTAATCACCTCATTGCAATACTGGTTTTTTGGAGTTTTTCATTTGTCTGTTATTCAAACCAGTGTAGTCACAAAGTCTCTGAGGGTTCACTTTACGTAAACCTTCAGAATTTTTTCTGTAACATAGTAAAATATCTTTCCTATCATAAGGAATGGTAAGTAGAGACATAGGCACACCTTTATACTTCATAGTTATTTAAATATGGCATGGTAAACCCTTTGCTTAGATTATCTTGGTAAGCAGCGCTGGGAAAATCTGATAAATCTTGAGATAGCATATTTTGTTTCTTTAGCTTAAACTACACACTTGTTGTTGTTTTTAGGTGCCATTGGGTCAGTATCAACTCATAGCAACCCTATGCACAACAGAACCAAACATTGCCCAGTCCTGCACCAAATACACATTGTTGTTGTTGTTAAGTGCCGTGGAGTCGATTCCGACCCGTAGCGACCCTGTATAGGGTTTCCAAGGAGCAGCTGGTGAGCTTGAACCGCCTACTTTTCAGTTCAAATGGCTTTGCAGTCTGACACATTAGCCCACAGCGCCACACCAGGACTCATTAGGGGATTTCAAAATGTTCATGGAAAAAACAACCATACTTGTTTTATTTGAAAATGTAATTGTTCTTCTTGGATAGCATGTGATCATTCTTTTTGTGACACAACACAGCCATAAAAATTCATTGTTTGGAAAATGAAGATGGCTTTGTAAATTCATTACTAACTTATTTTAAATATGTATCTTTTTACATGTATCTACATTACACTTATTTCTTTCACTATACCTCCTAGGCCTCTAATTCTTTTTTATAATCAAGATGACAAATTATAGGTATTAGCATAATTGAGACATGTGCTTTTTCCCCTGTGCAGATAGCTACATGGATAAACAAAGTATGTGAGAGTGAACTTAAAGGTCAATAAACATAAATTTGGAATAGACATGCCTTTCTGCAAGGACTGTAGGTGTCTACTTTCGGACATGGTAGGAGTGGATTCATGGCGCTCATAGGGCCTTTTGCACAACACCTGTAAAGTCTAGTATCAACTGTTATCCAAAGGCTTAAATCATTTGAGATTTTTATTTATTATCATGCTTTTCCTGGACTAACAAAAGGCTATCTAGATTGCAAAACTCACAATGAAATTTGCATAGTTTCTTCCTTTTCCGCCTCCTTTTCAAGTTTATTCAAAAACTGCCATGAATTCACTCCTACTTACCATGTATCTCTTGGATAGGAATTTCTTTTGTAGTTAAGGAAAACCTCAGGCTTTTTTGTCTTTCTGTATTTGTGTGGTTTGATGAAAACTGATACTCTTTTGTTAGTAATCTCCATTACTATGTTGAAATATCAGTCTCCTGTGTGGTGCTGTGGGTTAATGCACCAGACTGCAAAGCCGTTTGAACTGCAAGGTCGACAGTTCAAGCTCACCAGCTACTCCTCAGAAACCCTATACAGGGTTGCTAAGGGTCAGAATTGACTTGACATCACTTAATAACAACAAAGTAATAATGCAAATAAAGCACTCTTTTTTTCCAGCAATATGACTATACATTTGAAGATAAATTGTAATTAAAGAAGCATACATCATTCCCTTTTCAGCTTTATAGACTAAAACGGGATGAAGCACTCCAATTGCATGGCATGTGTATCATCAAGACGTCCTAGGTCTTAGCAGACTTTTTTTTGCTCATTCATACAGTGAACAAAATTGACTGAATACTTTCTATATTCCATTTGCTGTAGTACTTGCTAGAAGAAATAACCAGTCATATGCACTATACCCAAATCCTCACCATTCCAAACTTAATGTGTACATTCATCTGATTATAACCTAGGATTAGAGGACCACCAAAAGGTAAAGCGAGGTATTTCATTTAAATGCTTTTTTTTTTTCTGGAATGGGCATAATTTACATACCAAATTCTATTATCTAATAAATAGTGATAATGTGAAATTCTTAGGTAGTTTTTTCGCATACCACATAAACTGTTGGATAATCTAGTTTTGTGGGCTACAGAAATTTTATAATGGGTCTAATTGATCTACATTGGTATATACATTAATATAACAGATATATTGTAGCTGCTAAAATTAGTATTTCCCTAAATACCCACTAAACACAGGGGGGGAAAAATCAGTTGTTATAATGAAGTATAAATAAATTGCAACTTAAAAAACAAAAACCAGGAAAGCAATAAAATAAATTATAATTTTAAATAAAATAAAATTTCAGTCGATTTTATAAAATGAATGTACCAAAGGATATGAAGAGCATTTTATTTAGGTCTAACTTAAACAAGGAGTCCTGATATGGCACTGTGGGCTAATGCGTCAGACTGCAAAGTCATTTGAACTGCAAGGTTGATGGTTCAAGCTCACCAGCTTCTCCTTGGAAACCCTATACAGGGTCGCTATGGGTCAGAATCGACTCGATGGCAGTTAACAACAACAAAGTTATTGGAGTCCTGGTGTTGTGTTTTAGAATAAGCACTGGACTGTTAACCACAAGGTCAGTGGTTCAAACCCACCAGCTGTTCCTCATAAACCCTAAACAGGGTCCTATGAGTCAGAACCAACTCAGTGACACTTAACAATTTGTTATGGAGACTTCTTTTTGCAGTTTTTGTTTTTAAGTAAATTTCTCAAAACTTAATGTAGTGATGTACTAGTGTTACAAAGATGTCATGCTTAGTTATCAAGGTTTGTAAAATAAGACTATAGAAAAACATATTAATAATAAATATTTAGATAGCGTAGTGGTTACGAATTGGGCTGCGAACCGCAAAGTCAACAATTCCAAACTACCAGCTGTTCTGCAGGAGAAAGATGAGACTTTCTGCTCCCGTAAAGATTTACAGCCCCGGAAACCCTGTTCAGGGTCATATGGGTCAGAACCGACTCAATGGCACTGAACAACAACAACAACCACAACTTTGAGAAGAGAACAGAGGAAGGACTGTGAATGGGTCAAAATTATTACTTTTTATCCTATAAATAGGCTGAGGAACCCTGGTAGTGTATAGTAGGTTACGAGTTGTGCTGTTAACTGCAAGGCTAGGAGTTCAAATCTACCAGCTCTTTTGAGGGAGAAAGATGACGCTTTCTGCTCCCTTAAAATTGTACAGCCTCGGGAACCCTATACAGAGTCACTATGAGTCAGAACTGAACCCATGGCACGTAACCACCACCATCATCATAAATAGGCTGAAGGAGTCCTGGTGATGCAGTGGGCACAATGGCTTAGCACTTGGCTCCTAACCTAAATGTCAGGGAAAGATATAGCAGTTTCTGTGAAGATTACAATCTTGGAAACCCTCTGAGGCATTTCTACTCTACTCTTTCCAATAGGCTCGCTAGGAGTCTGAATTGATTTGATGGTCAAGGGTTTAGATTGGGTTTTGGATAAACAAGTTTAATCTCCCAAAATACTTTTGGTATTAGAATTAGAGTTATACTCTTTAAATATCCAACAGACTAGGAGATCATTTTGGTGGAAAAGTCATAGTACATAATTAGCCCAAGTGCCCTTTCAGCGTAAAGAGTATTCAGGAAAAATCACTTCACTGACTCCCATAGATCAGCTTCATGACTCTGCTCCAAGCTTGCAGGAATACAAAACATATTCAAAAGTAGAAGTATTTACAATGTGGATAGACACAAATCCAACCATATTTGAAACAAAGTAAAATTTGTTCTTATTCACATAGCAAATAAACCTAATTTCCAACCCAGCCAAAACTTAAATTTTCTAAGCTTATGAGCTAATTTGTTGCTATTAAGCAATATTTAAGTAAGATCAGTACCAATGAATATTGTGAATACATTTGTTTTCCTATTTTAACCTTTTAAAATGTAAGGAAAAAAGTAACACAAACAGTAAATGAGTGAGTGAAATAGAAAACAGAAGACCAATGTCTTTGAACAAAAACAAACCACTATCCCTTTGTCTTTGAAAATATGTGTGGTTAAATTCCCCATACACTCAGTATACTGGAATATTAATTATCTTCACTTCACTCCCAAAGAGACCAAGGCTATTTATTAAAACACACACACACACACACAAAATTTTCATCACATAAATAATCACATATTCAACTATAAATGGCAGTGACCCAGAAACACTACTATTGTTAATATACTTTCTTTTGTGTTTAAATCTTTTTGGCACATATGGGATTATCTGAGATCATTTAGCCTTATATCAAAAATTCCACTTTGATGCATAAACAGTGGTATGCCAAATATTCCTAAATTCACAGTTAGGTTAATGGTTATTTGTTGCCTCAAACTGTGAACATTCAAGTTGATTAAGTATTCTCTTTCATGCTCCTGTATGTATTATTTCATTGGCTAATGAGATAGGTTGCCCTTTCTGTCCATCATTAGAGCAGCTGGAGACAGCATTTGCTACCTGGCAAAACTTTCGAAGAAGGATCTTTCTTAGCAGCAGATAAACCCAGGGATCCAAGATCTGGTTCAGTGAAGCCAGGCGAACGGCTATTAAGAAGAAGTTGCATTCTTTCTGCTTTTCCACCTGATTCTTGCAGAGCTCAACTGATGTCTGATTGAAGATCATTTTCAACATCATTATCTGAGAAAGAGGGACAAATCATTGTTTCAAAAATTGATAAGGTCATATGCATCTCATTTATACAATATTTTGCACATAATTGGCTTTCAATAAATTGGTTGTTACAGTGAAATGAGCAATTCAAGCAAAATTTATACTCTTAGTTCTCCTAAAACCATCGACTTGATTATGACTCATAGAGACCCTATAAGACAGAGTAGAACTACCCAAGAGATTTCTAAGATGGGAATCTTTACAAAAGCAGCCTGACTCATCTTTCTCACAAGGAGCAGCTGGTGGATTCAAAACACAGATCATTCTGTTTGAAGCCAAGAGCTTAACCATTGCACCATCAGGGGCCCTATTCATAGAACATAGCCCTGTATTAATACACGACATTCCTACAAATTTTCCCACATTTTTGGTTATTTGGTATAATGTAGCTAAAAAGCCTGTGTTCTCAGGCTCTGGCTCTGTGGAATTTAAGAAACTTGAAAATAACACATCCCAAAATTAGCTAAAGCCATCTGTCTTGTTTCAGAAAAACATCAATGGGTTGACAGACCCAAATGAGAGCCAATCCTTCAAAATAAAAATGCAATTTGCTATATTATCTTCATATTAAAAATATTTTTAATTCTCTTGGTTGTGTACCAGTGAAAGTAAGTCAGCAAGGAGAAAAAAAATAATGTTAGGATTTCTGATATTGCCAAATCTGCTTATGTAATCCCCATTTTACTTAAAAATATAGATATATGCTTAATAAATATGAACACAAGTAAAGTGGGCAAACTGACAAGCAAGACAGCAAAAATTACATGAAAATGCTTATTAGGCCATACTAGTATGTAGACCATAGCTTCTAGCCATCTCCCTTTTGTTTTAATGAACAGAGTTGGATCAGGTTATTCTTCAAAATGATTACTGACAATGGGGACAGGGATTTCAAGGTTTGACTAATAACAATAGTTCACCTCCTGGAATTTGATCCATGGTTCTTGGCTAAATCACTATTTAATGACTGGACAAACTGAGGTTCCAGAAACAAAACCAGGGTAATGGGTAGGAAAAAAATAGATAACCCTATGTCCTGACTCTGTAATTACTTTCATAGAAATTTTTTTCAAAGAATTAATTATATATAT